AGTAGAAAGCTGCAGAGTGTGTGTGCACAGAACACCTGAAGCTTCGGACAGACAAAATGACCTCAGCGGAGTCCAAAGCAGATCTCTTTACAGTAGCCACAGGCGATGGAGGGGACAACCATCAGAACACGCAGAAGAAGTCCTTCTTTGAGCACTACATCCAGCCGTGCCTGGCAGAGATCCTCGGCTCCACTCTCTTCATGTTCGTGGGCTGTGTGTCGGTCATGGGGAACGTGGGCATCAGCGGGAGCATCCAGCCCGCTCTGGCACATGGACTAGCACTGGCCATAGCAATTGCCATTTTTGGAGAAATCAGGTAACTGCCTTATGTTCTGTGTTCTTGAGTTATGAAATGGCTAGACTTTTAAACAGAGAAAACAAATAAAAAAGAATACATTATATTATAAAACTATGTTGATCGTATTTATATTAAATTCTTGTTATATTTACAATATTTAAAAACTAGAATATCTACTGCTTATTTAGATTTTAGTCAGTATTGAAAAATAAATTAAATTGTACATTATGCATGCATTACTATGCAAAATAATATATTTTATTTGTATTATTTTAAAAATAAAACGAAAATATGTGAATAAATGATCATTTAATAATTTAATAATTTCTTTTTTTCTTTAACCGAGTTCGTTCTTGTAGGAATTCTTTCATGCTTGATTTTATGATGTCATCTTGTTTCCCAGCGGTGGTCACTTCAATCCGGCCGTGTCTGTGTGTGTGTACCTCATCGGAGGAATGGAACTGATGCTCCTGGTGCCATACGTGCTCTCACAGATGTTAGGTGGAGTGATTGCTGCCGGCCTTGCCAAAGTATGTGTGCAAGCTTCTCTATCAATATTTGTAACTTTGTTTGTGCCTTATTGCTCAAACTGCTGGAAGTATACAGTCTTTTACACTTTTGACAATGCAATATAAAATGCATATAAACCATTTCTTTGTCTTTAGGCTGTCACTACGGATGAGGCATTTGGAAATGCAACTGGAGCAGCGTTTGATGCCGTTCAGTCCTATCACGGCGTTGGCTCTGCGACTATGGCAGAGATGATAATGACGCTTTTTTTGACTATAGTTGTCAGCATGGGTGCCGTAAACGGAAGGACCCGAAGTCATCTCGCTCCCTTCTGCATTGGACTCACCGTGACTGCAAATATTTTGGCTGGGTAGGAAACTAATATTTCACACAAAGGCACAAACAAATTATACAGCCTACTGTACAGAATACTTTGCCACACTAAAGTTTAAAAGAAGAAAACAAATCTAGTCTAATGTTTTGAGGCCATAAATATTTATTTACAATTGTTTAAACATTTATATCTACATCTATACCTCAAGTCTCTTTCATATAATATTCCTATATATATCTGATACAAATGAAAGTAGTTTAGAATTCTACTTATACCTGAACTGTGTAGATTACTTTTTTTTTTATTCGCTTTGGTACTATTTTCACAAGGTGCACATTTTCAAAACTCTTAGTGTCTCAGCTAGTCATTCTTTCAAAACCTGATCTCATGCTTTCATTCTACATAATCATTGTTTCAAAGCACAAGATCATTGTGATATGTAATGAGAACGTTTGGTTTAACCACTGAAACACAACAGTATGATCTTCTTTCAATTTAGTACTTTTAACAAGTTCATTCAATAGCAAACAATACAAGATACATGTTTCAAATCACCCTTGTTGCTAAAATAATTACAGTAATACAGGCTACAGATGCCACATTAGAAAATACACTTACATTACCTAACTTATGTAATTGAATACATAATGTTTGTAATAGTATCTATCAAGTGTGTTATCAAAATGTGTGATGAAGTTATGAAATGGCCATTAGGTTTTGTGCTAGAACAGAGTTTGATGGCAATATAGTAAATGTTCTCACTTTGCCATATGACTGAATCTATACTGTGAGTACATGTATTGAGTATTACAGTAATGTGGCAGTCTCTACCATGATAATGTGTTACAGTATCACATGGCATACTAAATGTTGTATTTGATGCCATCTGTCTCCCTTCTACTGATGCATCTCTGATCAATCTGATGTTACACTGTCATTAACTGTTTCTTCTCCCTTGTATTCCATCCTGCTCTTCACAATTTGTTCACAAATTGCTAATCTCTCTCTCTCTCTCTCTCTCTCTCTCTCTCTCTCTCTCTCTCTCTCTCTCTCTCTCTCTCTCTCTCTCTCTCTCTCTCTCTCTCTCTTTCTCTTTCTCTTTCTCACGCACACACATGCACACACATGTGCGTGCACACACTTTGAACATAGTGGTTGTTATCTAAGATAAATCACTTATGTAAAAATATTTTATTACATTTGGTAATAAATATCGGAAATTGCAAACAAGTTATATAGAAACTATTTCTATCAATATCTATAGAAACCTACAGGTGTACCAAATAATTAATTTATTTACCATTAAGTTCAGTTGGTTTAAATAATAGACAAATGTATTAAACTGAACGAGAGGAAATGAACATCAAAAGTTTGTTTATAATGTTTACATGTTATATTAATTTTTTGATTGCCCTCAGGGTGGTGTTAATGTATGATAGTGATTTTAACCCGCCAACCCCTGAAACTGATTCTGTTTTATCTTATTCCGTTACTCCCTGATCTCCCCTAACTGTCATCATATGTTTGTTTCACTACACTTGTTTCAAAGTGGAGAGTGAGGTGCCTTTGAAGAACATGGCAACCAAACAAACAGGAAATCACAGGATATTTTACAGGAAACAAAGACACCAGGAGCCTTAGAATAATAATGGCAAAAGGAAATATTAATTCCTAACACTAACATGTGCTGATATGCTGTATTTGGGGTCATTTTTCAGTTTTGAGAAACTCTGATTTAACTGATTTTGTCTTGCATGTCAAACAGGGGTGGAATATCAGGAGCATGTATGAATCCAGCACGGGCCTTTGGGCCAGCGATAGTGTCCGGTCACTGGACGTACCACTGGATATATTGGGTGGGACCTTTGACTGGTGCTTTAGTCACTGTCAGCCTTGTGAGGTATTCTTGCAACTCACTTTTTCCTTACACAATGAATGATTTTCTTCATTTAGGAGGAGTATAAAGTCATTAAGTGTATCAGCTTAAACAATATATGACGACTTATTTCATTTTAAAGCCATTCATATTGAAACGAGTTAATATTTGATACAGGTTTTATGTGTTTATAGCATACAACTTTTCATCTTTTAAATGCGAGTATGAGTATTCTGATCAATTGCTTGATTCATTCTAGGTTGATAATGGGAGACAAGAAGATTCGTGTTATTTTCAAATGATGGAGATGAAGGACCTCTGAGGATCTTATTTTGCAAGCTTTTTAAATTCAAGGTTACTTGTAAAGCATTGTATGATATTGTCAAATCATTTATATTAGTGCAGTTTTCTAAACTTTTCTGTATTCTGATGCTTTGACAAATGTATTTGTTGTTTTAGTTTTATAGCCTGCCATTATGTATTCTGATGTTTTATGTTAATAAGCATAAAGTCTTTTCTTAGATATTGCCTTAATGTATTTATTCACTTTACAATATGTAAATATGTAGCCCCCCTATATATATATATATATAAACACACACACACACTGACACAAACACTCCTGGGCCAAAAAATTTAATAAAAATTGTGTCAAGTCAAAAAAGGCAAAATATTTAGTGGTCTTTTAATGGTCTTAACCATTTTAATCAAAAATCACTGGTAAGGAAATTGCACAAATGCTCTAGAGATAAAGTAACTTAGCACACAGAATATCCTTCCCCAACTTGCAGATGGCTTTTTACAGGAAGAAGACTCACTATTGTCCCACTCAGTGTAATGGCTTCAAACAGTTCATGAGTAGCTGAAAAATGTCTCCTTGTTCATTTGAGTTTAATGTGTGACCAAATATTCAAATCTGGACTCTGACCAGGCCAAAACATGAGCCTGGTGGACTCGCTCTCAAGCTGCTTCTCGGTTGTCTCTTCTTCCTCCATGCTCCACTGTGGTAGAAATGCATTTATTATATATTTCTCAGCAGATTTTTGAAGACACCGATCTAGATCATCCCCGTGTGTTTCGTGTTTCCTTGTGATGCATCACTCCACACAACTTCCTATATTCTGCCAAAAACTTCATTCTGTCTTCGCTTTTTTTCTGAGACAGCAATGGCTTTTTAAGTAGTGCATTTGCTTACATTTTACCAATTTCCTGACTAACATAATTTGTGGTTAAGACAATTAAAAGCCATTTTGTTTAGCCCAAATTTGTATTTTATTTTTTGCCCAGGAGTGTGTGTGTATATATATATATATATATATATATATATATATATATAGTATATATACACACACACAGTGGCCAAAAGAGGTTTTTAATCACCATCAAAATATGGAAATATTTTAAATAAGGAAAATATTTTAAAATATTTTAAATATGTGGAAGGAACAGAACTCTACACTTGGTTAAGGTATTTATCTAAACCTTAATCTTATATACATATTCTTTTTAATTTAGAAATAAAATAAAACATTTACTCAAATATTTTGATATAATTAGGCTATTAATAGCTAAATAATAATAAATAAAACAACATATTACATTTCACCATATAACATGCTCAAAGTTCACCTTGAAGCATCCATGTGCTGTTTTATTATGCCATTTGGGTTGATAGCATTTACAGCCAAGGTCAGGGAGTTATCACACACACTTGACACGCAAATCAATAACACAGATATAATAGTGGAAAACAAACTGTCCAAATGTGAAGCCACTTACATCTGATAAGGGAAAAAACATCCATTGATATAACTCTAGACTGAAAATGTCTGTGCTCATACCTCACAGTTATTGTTGAAACTTTTGCAGATCTTTTCATTGTCTCCTAAAACTTGGTTTTACAGTATGTGGCTGCTGCGTCCTTCATAATAATCCTATGATAATGTATCAAGCTTTCAGGGATATAAGAGTGATTTATGGTGGAACAAGTCAAGTTGGCTCTTTTATCATAGTGCTTCCCTCTGCCACGCAGTCACAAAGTTACTCATTGCACTTGAGGGTGCACAATGTCAGTGGAAGTAGAGAAGCTAGAGCTCAAAGAGCTGGACAAAACATTGCTGAAGAAGAATGAATCCTCACCCAAACCTCAGAGCAAGTATGAAAGAATAATCCAGCCATGTGTGGCCGAGCTGGTGGGCACAACGTTTTTTGTCTTCATTGGCTGTGTGTCCGTCATTGAAAATGTGGAGGCAGCAGGAAGACTACAGCCAGCACTCGCACATGGTTTGGCAGTGGCTGTACTGGTGGCATGTATGGCAGAAATCAGGTAAGAATAATTTATTTTAAGGTGTCCTTGTTACAGTATAATTATTCATTAAAGTATAACAGCATACTGTATACTTATTGGGATAGGATTAGGGTTCAGGGTTATTTGCAAGTAATTATGCATTATATAGCCCCTGCTGTTACTACGTAGCCTACAAGTATGTAAGGACAAATAAAATAAAGTGTTACATTTTTTTTAATATACATATTTTTATGCACTTGTTTTGATTTGTTCAATTATTTTGAGTGCTGAAGGGGATCTGTCTGAATCCCTTTCTGAAAGCAAATGAGTTTATATCTCACCTGAATGATTTTGTTTTTCTCTCCATGCAGCGGATCACATTTCAACCCTCCGTTCACCATCGCTATCTGGTTGTGTGGTGGACTTCAGCTGACGATGGTTGTTCCCTACCTTATCAGTCAGATTATCGGAGGTGTGCTGGGAGCTGCAATGTCAAAGGTGTGAAAAAGAATACACCTAATACAACAACAGAAAATAATATTGTTGGTTACACGAAAAATGTGCTCAACAGAGAATGTATTTTCAAGGTTATGACATCACACGAGAACTACATGAATGCTACCGGAGCGGCCTTTGCTGTTCTGAAGTCTGATGAGCAGCTGGGGAAGGTTGTGTTTGCTGAAATGGCTATGACATGTCTATTAACCATGGTAGTCCTGATGGGGGCAGTCAATGGAAAGAGCAAAAGCCCCCTGGTGCCCTTCATGGCGGGCTGCACTGTTATCGTCAATATTCTGGCAGGGTGAGTCTTGAACTACCGGATCTATACCAAAATCAAGCTCAATTGAAGTTAACAAGTTTTTGACCAGCTAATGTCTGAGGACTACGTATTTTGCCCGTCATTAAACTGCCGAACCTGAGGCTGTAGTAGGTTATATCGCATTAGGTTTTCAACTTATACACTTATAAAGTTTATTGTAGCTATATATGGTGCTCAGTTTTTTGTCATTTGTCCAAAATTTCGTGTTATAAAAGATGAAGTGCTATGAGAGGCTATTTAAGACAGTATTGGCTATGACTCGAGTCGACGACAAATGTTATAAACTAAGACACTCTTCTCCGCTCTTCAAACACATAAAACATTGGCTTTTAAATAGGCTATGTTTCTTGAGTGAAGAAAAAGCACTGTATTTTTTCAAATAATCAGTTCTTTGTTGCATTGCAAACAAGCAGAGACGTCCAAACTGCGTGCAATAAGATGATAGAGGTGGGGAGGAGTAATGAGGTTTGACTGAAAGTTTGAGGATCCAATGGAGATACGAGGTTTAGTCTGAACTTGAAGCTCTTTTTAATACTTTTCATCGGTTAAATATTTGCAAAACCCACAGACCGACGGCGACCAATGATTTATTGGGGGTATAAATAATGATTTATACATTTTATTTATTTATTTATTAATAGTAATGATAAATTCTTGATTTAACACCCCCCCCCCCCCCCCCCCCCCCCCCCCCCCCGTAAATCATTGCGTAAATCTGGCCCTGATGAGAATGGCATTTTTATTTTTACAAATGTTATGTAGACTACATAACATTTAGGCTTTGCTAATGCTATAATAGAGTTTGTATCTGTCTGAATAATTGATGTTGTTTTATTTAATAGAGGAGACGTTTCTGGCACCTGTCTGAACCCTGCAAGAGCTTTTGGACCTGCATTGATAGCTAACCACTGGTCTTATCATTGGGTTTATTGGGTGGGTCCGATAGGGGGAGGTCTGGTGGCTGCTGCTCTCGTGAGGTTGGTTTGCCTTGATATTAAATATACCATATTTCCTTGTTGAGGTCTTCCATGACAAGAAATTATTATTTACAGCAGACTGTAACTTTATTATTTTTTACAGGCTTCTGCTTGGAGATGAGAAGACACGAGTTATAATGAAATGATATTGGAGCACATCAGCATGCAAAGCCTCTCAATTCATGATGCCAGTATTACTTCTAAACACTCTAAATATTTCATGTCTAATTTAACTGCATATATTGCAATTTAATTTAAAACTGTGGCTATACTGTGCTTGCCTTTTATCACAAATGACCAACCCTTTTTCTTTTTTCCAGCAGATGTCAGTAAATTGTCTGTTGATAATGTTTCACATAAAATGTTATCTCAGACTGTAGTTTAGAATTTACTCGAAATAAAATGTATTCCATATTTTATATTATCAGTGTGTGTGTTTAAAAGTATTGCACATGTCAACATTAATACTGTTGGAGCATTTCCTATAGCTTCAAAACAAGTTTATGTGTAAACCATCAATCAAATGTCTAAATGCTTTTTTATTATTATTATTTTCTTTCTGGTAGACACCATACCATCAAAATCGATTATAGGAATAATTATAATAAGAAGATGAATAACGAATAATTGCTATATTATTATTATAATTATAATTATTATTATTTCGAACTGAATTATGTATGTTTTATTCTTGTTTTTTAATAAAAGAAATATGGGAGACCTAGTTTTTACAAGTTGTCACAATGAGTATATGCTTAAAAAATGCTGGGTTCAGCCTGTTGGGCCATTTTATTTGGTGATTTTTTTATGTTTTTTTACCCAAGTGCTGGCTAGTTATGTGTAACTCAGCTTTTGGGTCATTTTTCCTGACAATATGTTGGGTCAGTGTAACATAAAGTAGTCTCTGCCAAGGCTGCTCCTGCCACTTCCTTTTCTAAATGTTTTATGATTGTCAAAGAATTGAATAAAAATTATTTTATATGAACTTTCCTTATAGCTATAGTTATAACAGATTTTAGAGTAGCCTATATTATTATTTAAAATGAATAACCTTCAATATCAAGTTGTGTGACACTATTTATAAAAAAAAAAAAAAAAAAAAACATGGGTTATTGTGTATAATTAATGTATAAAAGTCCATGTTTTCTGTCCAATATTTACCCAGCACTGGGTTGCCAAATGATCCAACCATGGTCGTTTTTAACCCAGAATTTTTAAAGTGTAAATTTCAATAATACTAAAGTTCTGTGATAGTTGACTATTTTCAATGTAATTTTTCGAGACATCTTTTTAGTAGCCGAATAGTTTGTAGTGTCCGTCTGCGCGTGGTGTTTATTCTGCATGCGGCTCTTTGATGAGCGTTGTTGTTGTTTTTTTTCTTTTCAGACAATCAAGATATCAGCTTGGAATGACCGTAAATGCCCTATCCAAGAATTTCTCACGTGACTCAAAGCTGCTCGCGCGTCTCGAGCAGTTGATTTCATTTAATTATTTGACGGGTTTTGGTCTTCTATTTTTTTTTGTGCTCTATATTTTAATGTAGGCCTAGGTTATTTATATTTATATATAAATTGGATCAAAACCTTTCGTCAAAGTTATGAATTTTGAACAATACCCGCGTATAGCCTATATACATTAATCATTTTTATATCATATAATATACCGGTAGGCTATAGCCTAATGTAAAGGTCTTAAATATTTTATAAGCTAAAAGAAACATAATCAATTGCGGTATATTTTGAACATTGCATGGTGTGCCAAAATGTGAAGATTGAAATATCTACATAAATGTAGGCTATATTTATTCAGCAACAGGCTTAACTTATTCAGTTAATTCCGCCCTGTCCGCTGTATGATTTAGTCTAATCCGAGTATAATGATCTGAAACAATTTAATTTAATTAAAAAATCTAACAGAATTCATTATGATCCATGATAATTACTATATTCGTATAGGCTACTGCAAACAAATTTAGATTTTGTTTTGTCACGTGTAGGCTAAGGGAAGAAATGCACCAGAAGTGTATCCAGATTTGTTTTAATTGACATGTTGTTGACCAAATCGACAAAACAACATTCAAACTGCTTAACAAATATGAAACAGGTTAACGATATTTATCAGATAAAGCCAGGGCCACTCTTGCGAGGAACTTGTCCATGGCCAGGTGGGCTTCAGGTGTGAAGTCATCAGGAAAGAGCATGGACAACACCACGAGAATGTTGTGGGCCAGGATCTGTTAAATTAAGATTGATAATGAATGATTAGCCTAACAATAATGACAACTAAAAGTACGCCTCAATTATTAATAGGTAAGCGTCAGACACAACAGTATTTTTACCTTGAAGTTAGCAGGATCGACTCTCAGCTGGAAGGCATGCAGCTCGCTGAGAGTGAGCAGGCCACCGAAAAGGTCGTCGATCTTTTCAACAGCCAAACCGAGTCCACCGAGGACCTTCTTTCCATGCTTCCTCACTGGGGCAGAGCCGGGGGTCAGGTCGCTCCAGTGAGAGAAGTAGGTCTTGGTCTGAGGGTAGACCAACAGCATTCTGCAAACCGAGTATGTAAGTTCCAGTTTAATCAGACCCTTACCATAGATCTGCACAATTATTTTTTTAACGAAATTGAATTTGTCTTACCTGGACAACGCCTCATTGCCGATATCCTCAGCCTTTGGGGAAATCTTTGCCCAGAGGGTCTTCACAGCGGCTTTGTCCTTAGCAGAGAGACTCATTTTGAATCGATGTCTGGAATGAATAGAAGTGGTCAAATGACTTACCCACCTAAATGTTGGTCCTCTTTTTAAGCGTTTGTAGTTGAGACGGGCACACCCAAGATACAGCCTAATTGCGTGTCAGATTGAACTCCTGCCAGTAAACGCTGAAAATTGACTTGATGCCCATTTTCCCCTCCTCATTTTTGGGGTGATACCATAGACTGTAAAAAATAGGGTGATACGTGATGATAGCCTACTGTACGTGCGCGCGCACTTGAGTCACAGGTCGAGGGTCAGATCCTAATCAGCTCACGTCTGCATCTTCATGAGTAACCCCACAACCTGATTTAAATAATTATTTAATTTTAGTAATTTGGTTAGTTTCGTTCTTATGCAAGATGCTTAATGTGACCTTTAAATTTAACAGATTTTTAAAAAATAAACAATAGCCTACAATGCAGTTTATTTTGAGTGCTAATTTATTTAGTTTATTCTTAACGGTCCATCATGCAGGCCTCTATGCGCCACTGATTTTACTTTTAATACAATGTTTATTACAGTTTTCTCGGTTGCTGAGACACAATTCATGAAACAATTCACCATTTTCTCACAACTATAAGCACAATCCCTGAACTACACACCAACTTGTACAAAGCTTGTAAAAACCAATTTCAGTCAAAAACATATTCTCTTTTGTCGTGAATCAAACATTGGCCTCAGATGACACACAAAACCGAACAAATACACAGACAACTTTCCTGCTCAGTGAACACTAGGGAGATTCATTTATTATAAAACTGTAACAAAAACGTAATATTTTTTTGCAGCTCAATGTCTATTACAGTAAATGAAAGACAGTAAAATACCACAATGAGCCTTAGTAAAAAATATTTTTTATTACATTACTGTAAAGGTAGGCTATCTTACAGAACAAATAAAGTAAACTTTAAATACCTAAGAATTGAATATGAACATGGTATGCAACACAATACAGTAGGTCAATTCCTACAGTAATTTTTTTTTAGCATCCTCTGCACCTTTGGCCAGATTTAATTACAAAATCATTATACAATACTATCGCAGCTTCTTGGTCTTCTGACAAGACTTTTCTACCTCCCCGCTGTCATTTCTCAGTTTTGCAAAAGTGCCACATGTAAAAAATGGCTACAAATAAATGTTACAATTGTGAGTTTGAGGGTGTACAACATGTGCTACAGTGTACTGTAGTGAAATTAAAAGTACTGTTACTGTATACTGTAATTCTACTGTATGTTAATAAAAACCGAGATGAAAAAACAATATGATGCTTTCAGCTCTCTCTCCAGTGTTAGGATGCATTTTCTAAAGCACATGTGGCCCTAATTATATTACCCTGAGATTCTGATTGTTGTGTCATCAGTTCCCTTTCGAGGGAACTTGGAATGCTTTAACGACGCTTTGGGAACGCCCCCAGCGTGAATGCGTCGAAGCATCTATGTCAACTAGTCCAATGGAAAGAATGAGCGTCACGGGCGGGTGACGTCATGACCAGGAAGGGATAAAAGCACATCCGGTGCAAACCGGCATTAGCTTCTGTGCCTCAGCAAGCGATCTGTGTTATACTGTCTCTGTCTATTTATTGTTGTCTGTTGCATATATTTGGAAAGAGTTATGGCGAAACAAATGTACAAACAGTGTGCTTCTCCCTGCCCGCGTTATTTAACGGGTGGGGACACACACGAGCTTTGTGTCGTTTGTTTGGGAGTAGAGCATGCGGTCTCAGCCTTCGAGGGGGCTGAGTGCCAGCATTGTGAGATGCTTCCGCTTCGCATGCTCCGCTCTCGCCTGTCACTCTTTGACGAGAGTGGTCAGGTTCGCGATCCTCAGGGTGCAGGACCCGCTGTTGCCGAGGCAGCACGGAGAATGCATTCCTGGGGATCGCAAAAGGATCTTTCGGAGGGGTTGGAGACGGGTCCGAGGGCCTTTTCTCCTTCCTTACCCAGAGGATCCAGTGCTCTCCCCCCGGTGTCGGAAGCCCGCTCTGCGGCTTCTTCCGCCCGGGGAGAGAGTCCTCCATTACTTTAGTGCTCTTCCTCTGAGGAGGTTGATGTAATGAGTATGTAGAGTGAAAGCACACACACTGGGGAAAGAGATTCGCCACCTGTTTCCCCAGCATATGAGGAGCGTGTGGAGGTGATGTCTAGGGCTGTAGAAAAATTAAATATTGAATGGCCAGCTGAGAAAAGGGGCGCTCGTCCCAAAAGTAAATTAGACGAGCGCTTCCTTTCTTCAACTACATCATCTCCACCACGAGGCCTTCCCTTTTTCCCCGATCTTCATAGTGAGCTATCTAGATCGTGGAATAAGCCGTACTCGTCACGACTTTTCAGCCCTCAGGTTCACTTATATTCAGGTATAAGAGGGCTGAAAGAGTACGGATATGAGGCGATGCCCCAGGCTGAACAGACGCTCGCGAGCTATCTGTCACCTGGTCCAGCATCGTCTCTGAAGGCCTCAGCTTTGCCCACTAGACCGCTT